ATCGATTTTTGCTACCCCTTCTCGCGTGGTTGCAAATGACATCTTGAATGCTGCTCATTTCACTGACAGTTTGGTTGCTTATATAGCCACTAATAGACACCCCAAGCATTCTTCGCTCCATTCTTATCTTTCACATAACCAGCGTTCGCTCTTCTGCTTTCGTCAGTGACAGCGTTTTAGTTCGTAGAAAAAAAGCTGTTTGATTTGGACGAAGTAATTTAGGAAACATAAAGCTGTAAGTTGAGTGTTTCCGTCTTGGCTTTTTAACTCAGTTCTCTAGCAGATTCCACCCTCCCACCTTTGAAATTTGAGGAATTCAGCCGCTCTGAATTTCCTTTGGTTTGTACGGGCTGTTACTTCAGAAAGCATGATTCGACCTTCCAACGGCCGCTAAAAACCATTTGACAATTTCATCCTCTTCGGCAGCCCTACTTGGACCGTCCAGTTTTGGTTCGGCTTTCTATGGCCTTTCTATCCCGAATCAAATATTTTTAACGCTTACCAGCTTGAAATAATATATATATAATATCATTTTTAGCAAAGCCATTTGGTGCACCAGCAACAACAACAACAACTGCTGCTTCTACAACTACTGCTGCGGCTACTCCAGTGCTATCGTTTGGCTTGACTACTACTTCTACTACAGCTGCACCACTGCAGTTTGGTACCGCTGCACCTTCTGCTACTGCTGCTGCTGCTACCACTACTGCAGCTATTGATACCACAAGTAGCACTGCTACTCCATCCAGCACTGCTGCTCCAATTTCATTCGGATTTGCAGCAACAACTGCAACCCCAACATTTCCTACTTTGTTTGGTGCAACAACGGCTCCTGCTACTGCACCAGCAGCTGCAGCAACAGCTACAACTTCAGCCGGATTAAACGGTGCGTTTTAGGGATGATGGTGAAAGTTATTTCCACCCCTAACCACATTTTCACTTGTTTGTGTTTACAGCTTGGGGATGAAACACAGAGACAAATTTATATTACTGACACAGAGTCTCAAGGCATTTTCCATATTGTTGCCTGTTAGCCTTTTGCGTATTTTAGTTTTGCTTATTTTCATGAGAGTGCAGAGGTGTGGCGGAATACAAACCCCGTTCGTCTAGTTAGGCAACACATTCGGATTCTCTCCGCAGGCCGGATTAAAACCAATCACGGGCTACATTTTCTTAACACATGCGCAATCAACATGTCACACTGTTTATAACACATGTCTCCCTACGTACTATCTTCCACTTTTTTCCCCTCCATTAGCTTATTTCACATAAAATATTAAACTCAAATCTTCCCGTTCCTTTCTATCTATTAATTCTAAATGTTACCACATATGTCCAGGACGTAGGGAGCCCCAGATGATGGTGTGAGGATCCCATGCTAGCGATATTTTCGGGGTTTTCCCCTCTCGTTGGACGCAGCTATGCCAGGCTCTTCGATCCTGAGCTATACACCTTCATTTTGTACGTAGGGCCTAATTAGATGGAGTAACTTAAGTTATAACTTAATCCAGTGAGTAAAAAAAAAATTTATCGTGAGACTTGTCGTTGTAATAAAATTTCGACCGAATTAATTGGCACTTTTAAGGGATATTGGGGGGATTTTATACTGGATATTACGTCATATGTCTGGGATAGAGGGACCGCCAGATGATCGTATGAGCATTCCAAGCTAGTGATATTTTTTGGGTTCTACTTTCTCGCTAGACGCAGCTATGCCAGGCTGTTCGATCCTGAGCTATACGCTCTTTATCTTGTACTTGGGGCCTATTTTCAATGCGTCTGTTCATACTGCTTAAAGAAGGAGTAACATAAGCTATAATTTGGTGAAAAAAAAATATCACATGATTAATTTTTTTTATGATATTTTCTTCATAATTTTTTTCACGAAACTTTAATAATTTGGGTAAAAAAAATGTTTTGGTTTTCAGCATTAGCACCGGCAACAACAACCACTCCTTCTGCGCTTTTATTTGGAGCTCCAGGTAAATATTTTCCTATTTTATTTCCTCACATCTTTTATAAACATATACCAACTAAAATTAAAATATTTTGCTTTTGAAAGGAGTTTTTCGAATTTTTTCCTTCATTTTCTTAAGTAGTTCACTACATTTTCTGTTGTATCGTGGGTTGTGTGGGTTTTATTCCAGTAATGTCTAGGAACCGGTAGTTTGGGCGCCCTCGATCACCTCCCTGTAATATAACAGCATATTTTGATATCTAAAACAGCCGTTGTATTTCACAGTACAATTCTCCATCTGTGCACTGGGCAGCTTTTCCAGTTGATTTGTCCGTTACATTATCTCATGTGCTAATGGTAATGGTAATGGTAATAGAATAAAAAGGAAGAGCCGTAGAAGCCCAGCCAAAATTAGTCGTTCTGAGCAGAATTGACGAGAAGGTCGAAGTTGTGAAGTGGTATTTTGCGGCCATAGTTAAGCCTGGTCACTGAATGAGAATAAGAGCAGCCACGGATTTTTTTCGTCCTCCCCCCTCCCCCCATCCGCTCATTTTGGTTGATTGGATGACCGCTGTGCATACTTTTTCCTGAAATATCTATACTTCTTTTCAATTCTAAATTAAGTAAGTGGAATTAGATTTTGCCTGAATTGGTTTATTTTTAGTGGCCCTGGGAGCAAAGCCCACCGTTTCTGCTGCTACTACTACTTCAGCTCCTGCGGAACCTACATTCGCTTTCGGCACTTCAGGTATTGTTGTAATATGGAAAAGAATATTTTCCAAAATAATGCAGAGAAAGAAATTATTTAGTTTCCAGAAATAATTAAATATAGAAAAAAATTAAGTAAAATTTTTGTGAAAGGGGTATCAGAAAAGCGGCTATAGATGCAGGAGAAATAATACTTTTACTTTGACCAGTTGTTTTTCAATAATCACATTCCGATGTTTGTGGCAACCTCCATTCTCCTCTGTTTTGAGCTTTTCATCCACATAACCATGCAAGCCGAACCATCTGGCCGATCTGACCAAGAACATTTGATTTTGTGGGCTTTTTTTTGGTCTTCATTATGACCCAAGCTTTTGAAGTAGTCGAGCATCTCTCCTTGCCACGTTTTGCGCTGCGCCTGCTTGACGATGACCCTCTTAGTGGCTAATTGGAACGTATTTGTAGATTTTATGATTCCCGAGATAATAATTTACCCGCCTAAATTTTCACGGGAGCATTCGGGCTACCTCTGGGCAGGGGAAGGCTGGATTTAAATTTTCTGGGTCGCATGTGACAGGAAAAACGCCCAGTCTATCGTTTTTGGGAAAAGTAAAAGAATGAGTTTTCCTGGCTGAATGCCAAAAAAAACGAAAGAACATACTTACGTCACAAAATATCGGAATTAACCTTACTCCTTCTAAAGTACTGTGCAGTAGTAATAATCGCTATTTATAGTTGCAGCCCCAGCAGCGCCAGTGACAACAGGGCAGCCTACTGTCAGGTAATTTTTTTTTTTGATTGAATTGTTCATTTATATTTTGAAAAAAAAATTCTTTTTTCGTTGTTTTCTTTTTTTTAAATGCCTTTCCAGTATTGATCTTTTGGAAAAAAATTTTTCGTTTTGGTTTTTTTTTTTTTGTTTTTTGAAATACTTTTCCAATACTGATCATTTTTAATATTGTACAAAAGTCATAAATTGTTTTCAGCACTGCTCCAGCTCCTGCAGCCCCAGGCTTACCATTCGCACCATCGGCAACACTTTTCCCATCTGCTGCTACCAGTACTACTCCTGTTGCTACCGCTGCTCCTGCTGCTACACCGATTACTACTGGATTCAGATTGTAAGTACCTCTTAATATGGAGCTTTCATGTTACTAAAATGCACCTGTACATTGTCCCCCTCTTTCCTCTCTCCCTCCCTCTCCCCTTCCCTTCCCTCCCCGTATCCCACTCCTCCCCCTGCCCTCTTTCAACCTGTTACTAAAACTCGGCTTGCCTCGGCCGGTACCGCTACAAGATTCGTGTTTTGATTTCTTCGGGTTTGCTTGCCCCGCTATCACGAAGGACGCTGAAGCCACGGATGGTATGGTGAAGGGGAGGCTGCCGTGTGGGTGTTGGACGCGGAGACTGAAGGCCTATCCACGTACAGTCTCCCCCTCTCTCCCCCTCCCCCTCTCCCCTCCCCGTCCCTGGTTTTCTCCATACTACCTCCTAACGCATGCGATCCAACAGCCAGACGCTGGATATCGTTACCCGGCACAGCTGGCAAAGTACGAAGCAGTACCGACGAGACTCGTCGCGAAATAGCATTAGCGAGAACGTTAGACCAAGACGGCTAAGGCCAATCAGGCCGAGTTTTAGTAATTACCCCCTCCTCCCCACCCCCTTTTCACGCGTGGTCCTCTGTCCTGATTCATGCATGCTTTTAGTAAGCTGAATAAAGGGTTCAGTAAAAACCATATTTAATAGGACATACATCCAAGTTTGCGCTAGTTCCAGCTCTTTTCATCAAAATCTGTAGCACTGATTGACTAAATTAGTAGCCTACCGCGCCTTTCCTTGACGGCTGTTCCTGTATAAAATCCATTTCTTTCGTGTTGCTGTATCCGAGCAATAGTCCTGTCGCGAAAAACCCGAAAAAAATACCAGCCAAGAAACTACCGTAAAGAAAAAAGAAGAGAAAAAGGAAGATATGGCTTGCTTTAAAAGACTGATACGCAGTAGATGTGCTGCCAGGCTGAACTTGGAGTACAATGATCGGTGGCGTAGTGGCAAAACATTGCGTTCGGATGTGAAAGGAGTGGTTCGATTCCCTGCCGGTCCCGAGCAATTTTTGAGAAGGAGCTTCATTTGCGATGGGTCCCTAACATCGGACTTCCAAACCACTTGTTGGGATTGTTGGTTGTTTTACGATAAGCATGACTTATGCGCATCACATTTTGTATCCATTTGAAATTCCAGTCCGTCATTTCCATCGTCAACGACTATGGCACCAAATCTAGCAACATCAATTGCCGGTGCGCCAACAACTTCTACAGTCACATCGGCTGGTTCCACGCTTTCCTCGTTGCTATTCCCCTCCAAAACTACGGCTGCAGGCACTGGAACAGCACTCACAGCAACGACTGTTGCGCCTGTTTTAGGCACAAGCGCCCTAGCAACAACTGGCACACCTGCAGCAGCATCTGTTTCGTAAGTTTTTTTTGTGAACTTTCTTTAAGTAGTGCTTGTTTTTTGGATCAGACTTTTTCAGATTTTGAAATAATTTTTTGAATATTAGGTCCATTTGCAGCACTGAATAGGAATGTATGCGACTTGATGGACCGAAATATTCCCATTCAGATTTTAATCTCAACTTATTCACATTTCCTTTTTTATTTCCTTACATCTTACATAAACACATATCAACTAAAATTTGAATTAAAATAAGTCACTGTACTGAGCTTGGCTTAGTGGCAGTTGGTGTTGCTGTCATGCAGAAGATCGAGAGTTCGATTTTCCCCGCTGGAGCAGCCAGTCTTCCTATGATCCTTTCATTCGTTTCGATGGTAAATTGGTATCTGGCAGAGTCAAACCTGCCATCAGCTTGCCTCAAAGCAACCCTTTGAAGAGGGGGCATCGACAGTCTTAACAGCATATGATTGTTGTTAGCACCTGCTGCAGCTCATGTTACTTTCGGGTACTTTTGCTTTATAGAAAAGAGTAAATACGGCGGGGTTTTGGACTTTTTTGATTTAAGTTTTAGGTAATGTCTTGTGGTTTATGAATAAATAAATAATAACTTGAAAGAATGAGGAGGTAGATGCTATGGAAAGAAAGAATTGACTTAATAGAAAACTTAGAAAACTTGATGAACTGAGGAAAATTGCTTCAAGCCATAAAGTCGTATACATTTCTTGCCAGTACAACAACTGGACCTCGTCAGTATGAAGCGGTTTATTCGAAGAATTCTTTTTATGGGCAAAGTCTCTCTTTCTTAATTTGTTGTAAAGTCATGTACATTTTTTGCCACTATCACAGTTGGACCTCGTCAGTACTAAATGGTTTAATCGAGGAAACCCCTTTTATAGGCGAAGTCTCTCTTTCTTAATTTGGGGATTTGGAAAGAATTGTTTCGGGCCATAAAGTTGTGTACATTTCTTGCCAGTGCCACATTTGGACCTCGTCAATACGAAGTGGTTTATTCAAGGAACTCCTTTTATAGGCATAGTCTGTTTTCCTTAATTTGGTGATATTGAAGTAATTGTTTGGACCATAAAGTCATATACATTTCTTGCTATTACCACAACTGAACCTCGTCAGTACGAAGCAGTTTATTTGAGGAACTCCTTTAATGGGCAGAGTTTCTCTTCCTTAGTTAATGCTTTTTCTCCTTTATTTTTTACATATGTGTTTTTTAGTTAAGCGCCACTTCCGTAGCTGTTTGAGCGTAATATTCTTTTTTTTTGCGTGCTTTTCAGGTCTGATAAGCCGATGACATATGCGCAGCTGGAGCAACTTGTAAATCGTTTAACGCTTGATGTCGAGACACAGCAACAACTGTTCATGTCACAAGTGCTTGAGCTAAACACATATGATTGTGTTTTAAGAAAAAATCAACAACGGGTATAATAAAATTTTCATTTTTAAATATTTTAGCTTGACTAGATATTTTTCCGTGAACTATTCCAGGCTTTTGAATCCATCCTTTACATTATAAATGCGCCCATAATATGTGTAGAACACATTGGTGTGGTCCGTAGGCGAATCCAGGGCGGTATCTTGAGGGGAGGGGGGGGGGGCGATTTCCCCTCCCTTTCGCCATCACATGGGAGGGGGAGGGGCTCCGCTAATCGACTCTAAACTACGACGCCGATTTGGAGGAGGGGCGAAGGGGTGACGGCGACAAGCGATATCGAACAGAGTTTTCTACAGTAAAACAGCTGCTGCCTGAGCCCCTAAGTGAAAGGGGGAGGGGGCGGAAGACCCTTTACCTTCTCCCTCCTCCGCCTGGATCCGCCAAAGGTGCGATCTTTATTAACGGATTCTTGTGGATTTTTGTTTTCATTAACGGATTCTTTTGGGAACTTTTTGAGCACTTGCAAACAGTATTGGACTGGGAGAGGATCGAACTTTCAACTTTAGTATATCCAGACCGTTAAATCATGATGTGTGTTAACCATTACACTACCGGCTCTTGTGCTTCATGCAAAAAAAGGGCGTTGGTTGCTTGCCAATAAAAGTAGAAAACCATCGTTATTTCCCTTTTTTGCGGTTTTTTTTTTTTTGTCTTTAACACTTTTAAACACAAATTTACTTGATTTCCAGGTGCTTGATATTGGCAAAGAGGTGAAACAACTGGAAGAAGAAAAGAACCGATTTTTGCATACAGTTGATTTCATCTCACAACAACAGACCGAACTTGAAACATTGGTTGTGGATCTGGAAAAATCACTCGGTCTCGGAGATTGGACAGAAATGACACCAATCGGACTACCGGATCCAGGGATTAGTACCCATGCAGATGTGAAACGACAAGAGATGTAAGTTTAGTGAACGGGAGCTAGTGAAAATGCTAGATTTTTCTTTTTTTTTGTTTTCCCGGAGAAAATTTGGAACATAACGAGGAAAGAGGGGGTGGGGCGGGGGGGGCATTTACGACGGGGCTGATTATTAGATACTAGTGGATAAGTAATTTCAT